TACAACGGAAAATAAATAGTGAATTTCTTTTTTATGAATTTCTGCATAATGTTCTTATTTTACAAACTTTCCGTAAAAAAGGAACCCGAAGAACAGTAAGTTGTTAGTAAAGGGTCAATCATAATTATTGGATTTAACGGATTGAATTGTCATCTCTCAATGTAACTCATACATCAGTTTTTTGGAAACTTCTTTTTTATTACTAAGGAGCATGCGAGTTTTTTTTTTTTTTTTTTTTTTTTTTTTTTTTAAGTCAATGGTTAATTATTATTATTACTAACTATAATATAAGACAAAAGCAATGATGTGCTGTTATCTGATTAAAAAGACTATTAAGTTGGTGAGTCCACATCCATGCTGATCCATCGGATGCGGTAAGCCAACAATTAAAAAACTCAACGAGTGGAAATAAGGTTAAGCTATTATTGGCTGAGATCAACTTCAATGGTGGGCTAAAAGCCAAATTACCCACCAAAATTTCCCCCTAAACCCATTCCAACCCAAGGGGAAATTTGGGCTAAATGCTAAATGCTAAATCAATACCAGATTCCCACCGAAATTTAGCCTAGAAATCGGAATTTAAAATTTTCAATATTTATCGGAATTTAAATTTTTTTAGATTAAAATGTTTATAAAATTAATTTACGATAGTCTACATATTTATTTATTTTTTAAATTTAATTTAACAAAAAAAATAGCCTAAGTTCATTCTTTAATAATTCCGGGCTAAAATTTTAGGCTAGAACGGTTGGAGCAGAAAAACTGTTTCTATGCTAAAAGCTAAATTTTTCAGGCTAAAATATTTGGCTTTTAGCCCAACCATTGGAGATGGTCTTAAAGGATACTATTTTATGAAGACTTTTTAGTCAAGATAGTCTATGAAATTTGCATAACTCCTCACTTTGGTACTTGAAATTTGAAATTAATAGAATTGATCTTTGAGTTTGTCCACCATCAATTATTTTGATCATTTCTTGAAAAATCTCACTTAAATAAGAATACAATGACCAAAATGATTTTGTCATTTTGATCCTTATTTAACATAATTTTGCACGGAATGACCAAAATAATTGATGGTGGACAATCTCAGATATAACTTATATTGATTTCAAATCTCAGAGACTAAAGTGATGTGTTATGCAAATCTCAGATACCATTTTAACTAAAAAACCTTCATAAAATAGTATCCTTTCAACCAATAATAGCTTAACCTTATTTCCACTAGTTGAGTTTTTTAATTGTTGGCTTACCGCATCCGATGGATCAGCATGGATGTGGACTCACCAACTTAATTGTCTTTTTAATCAGATAACAGCACATCATTGCTTCTGTCTTATATTATAGTTAGTAATAATAATAATAAACCATTGACTAAAAAATAATTGAAATGAACCATTTTATGAATAACGAAAATAATTGAAATGAAATGCTACAGAGACAATTCTTGAACCACATTCTGTAAATTTACTTTGAAATGAAATTGCCACATTAAAAGGTAATAGCTAGGTAGGAAAATGCTTGTTATAAATTACATTTAAAATGAAGTTGTCACGAAAATTTCAATCCTTCAATTTGATCACATTCACGTTGAAAGACACATAGTAGGTAGGAAGAAAAGCATGAGGGATGATATAACAATAGAGAGCCATTGTCCATACCGTACTGCATATTCCAATTCTTTGAGTGACTCTTTTCTTTTGCTTATTTGGCTTTAATTCTCCTATGGCCAATCAAGGGATTTTTTCGAACTCAGGGAGAATATCTTGAAGTACACTCTCATGATCTTAATGTACTCTTTTTTCTACGATTAGGTGCACTTTTCCATTAGATTTTTGGTAACCTAATGAGGTTTTGATGAGACACCTGTACTAGTCATACCTTTGTGAGCTTCAAAGATCCTCCTGAATATGTGAAACACCAACATTCTGCATTAACTCACTTTTTTCTCCTTAAGTCTACTGGATTATAGAGGTCGCACTTGGTGCGATGGCAATTGCCTTCGTCCATGAGCGGTAGGTCTCGGGTTCGAGACTTGGGAGCAGCCTCTCCATAAATTGGGGTAAGGCTAGCCGACATTCACTTCTCCCAGACCCTGTGTAAAGCGGGAGCCTTATGCACTAGGTACGACCTTTAAGTCTACTGGATTATCATAGCAAGGTTTTTGTAAGATATTCATTTTTATATGTGCCCCTACTCTGAGACTTGTGTTAGCAATTGTTATATTTGCCGAGAACCGACGACAACAACTACCATTCCATAATCATGAAAGACCTAATATTGTTACTTCTTAAGTTGTATACACTAAAGAGCGAGTGTTGTGAACATAATTATTAATTAGAAATATGATTGTGTAAACTTAAAGTAGAATCCAATTATGATTTGACGATCAAATTCTCATAGGTTAGTATTGCAAGGCAAGAAAACTCATCATGATTATTGTAGGTAAAGAAGGACAAAGGATAAGGACACAATTCTAACTTAGTGAAAAAAATTTACCCACTAACACTATCATTTGTTAAAAAAAAATTAGCGTGAAACATTTGAATTGTTAGATTTGTATTGCTGTATCTTGACAGTTTCAATTTAACTTCATCCTTCATTTTTAATTATATATTTTGTTTACGGAGACGCATGTGAACGGCAGACTGCAATATACGACGGAGAAGCAACGACTCTTTCATATGGTTAATATATTTTATGTTGTTGCATCGGAGCCGTAAGCCAGCAATTAAAAAAAGCCAAGTGGAAATTAAGGTTAAGTTATTATTGGCTGAAAGAATACTAAATTTTATGAACTGAGGAAAATACTAAGTTATTAAGTTATTATTGGGAGTAGTCATTCACAGTTTGATGGGTGCATAAATCTTTATTTTTGTATTTCTAATGAGTTAATTCAACATATAAACTATGAAGTAAAAATAAATAGTGCATTTTTTCTTTATGAATTTCGGCATAATGTTCTTATTTTACAAACTTTTTATAGAAATGGAACCAGAAGAACAATAAGACGTTAATAAAGGATTAATCATTTATCGGGTTTAATGGATTAAATTGCTATCTCTAAATATATCTCATACAACAGTTTTATGGGAAACTTCATTTTTATTAACTTAGGGATGCGTATGTGAGTTGTTTTTTTTATTTTTTGGGTCAATGGTTTATTATTATTATTAGAAGCTATAATATAAGACAGAAGCAATGATGTGTAATTATCTGATTAAAAGAACAATTCAGTTGGTGAGTCCACATCCATGCTGATCCATCGGATGCCATAAGCCAACAATTAAAAAAGTCAACGAGTGGAAATTGACCGAAAGGATACTATTTTATGAATAAGGAAAATACTTGAAATGTAATGCGAGAGATATCATCTTCTTAAACCACATTCTGCAAATTCAATTTTGAAATGAAGTTGCCACAATGAAAGGTGATGAGTAGGAAAATGCTTAGTAGAAATCATTTTTGAAATTAAGTTGCCACTAAAGTTCATCTTCTTTAACTTGACTACATTACATAGTAGGTAGGAAGAAAAGCATGAGGATTGATATAACAATATAGAGCCATTGTCCATACAATACTGCATATTCCAATTCAGTGAGTGATTATTTCCTTTAGCTTATCTGGCTTTAATTCTCCTATGGCAAATCAAGGGAGTTTTTCGAACTCAAGGAAAGTATTTTGAAGTATATTCTCATGACTTTAATGTACCATTTTCTCTATGATTAGGAGCACTTTTTTTCATTGGGTTTTTTGTAACCTGATGATGTTTTGATGAGACGCTTGGGTTAGTCATACCTTTGTGAGCTTTATTGATCCTCCTGAAAATGGGAATCATCGACATCCTGCATTAACTCACTTTTTTCTCCTTAAGTCCATTGGATTGCCGTAGCAAGGTTTTTGTGAGATTTTCTTTTTGATAGGCACCCCTTACTATCAGCCTTTTTTTTTTTTTTTTTTTTTTTTTGAGAACATCGACGGTACGAGAGAAACTAACTATGAGACTCGTGTTAACAATTATTATATCTACCGAGAACTGACGACACAACTCCATTCCCTAATCAAGAAAAATCCGATGCAACTGCTTCTTAAGTTGTACATGCTCAAGGGCGAGTGTTGTAAACAAAATTATTAATTAGGAATGTGATTGTGAACTTAAAGTAGAATCCGATATGATATGACGATCAAATCCTTATAGGTTTGTATATTAAAGGAAAACTAATGAAAATGACTTGAAAACTTTGAGTTTTAACGAGAATGACAAAATAAAAGGTAAAGTGAATAGTACCAAGATTGACTTTTTAGTGTAAAAATGTGGTTTTTCGTTAAAGTGAACAATACTGGGAGTTTTTTGTTAAAATACCCTAAACTCATCATGATTAGTATAAGTAAATATACAAGACCAAAGGGTGAGCACACAATTCTAATTTAGTAAAAATAAAAAAAATTCACCCAATAACACAATCATTTGTCTAAAAACAAAAAATCTACAATACACTTGTGTATAAGATGCATGAAACATTTGAATTGTTAGATGAATTGTTAGATTCGTATGGCTAGATCTTGACAGTTTCAATCTAACCTCTCAAATACTGGTTCATCTCATACTTCGAAGTATTATAGTAAAAGCCCTAATTTTTAGATCGCAAACAACTAGGCTTTGGGAAACTTCATTCTTAATTTTTATATTATATGTTTACGGACGCGCATGCGAGGTTTTTTTTTTTTTTTTTTTTTTTTTTAGTGGGACCTATGTGAAGGGAAGACTAACTGTAATATAAGACAGAGAAGCAACGGCGCTTTCGTTGTGAAACATATATGTTGTTGTATCGCATGCCGTAGGCCAGCAATTAAAATACTCAATAAGTGAATATGAAGTCGTCGGGAAAGTTCCTCTCAACTTGACCACATTCACATTGGAAGGTAGTAGGTAAGAAGAAAAGCTTGAGGACTTATATAACAAGAGAGTCCATTGTCATACCATACTACACATTCCAGTTCTTTGAGAGGCTGTTTTCTTTAGTTTACCTGGCTTTAATTTTCCCATGGCCAATCAACTTGTCGCTTCTTCTTCCTTGCCTCCTTCATGGAGATATGATGTGTTTTTGAGTTTTAGAGGAGAGGATACACGCACCAATTTTACGGATCATTTATACAAAGCTTTGGTTGATAAGGGAATCAACACCTTCATTGATCGCGAACTTAGAAGAGGAGAAGAAATATCACCAACGCTCCTCCAAGTAATTGAAGAGTCAAGAATTTCTCTTGTCATATTCTCTAGAACCTATGCATCTTCAAGCTGGTGCTTGGACGAGCTTGTCAAGATTCTTCAATGTAGAGAATCAAAGCAACAAATCGTTTTGCCAGTTTTTTACAAGGTGGAACCGTCCCATGTACGAAAGCAAGAGAGTAGTTTCGGTAACGCGTTTACAGAACTTGTGAGCAAATCCGGCAACAACAACGAGAAGGTGCCCGTGTGGAAGAGAGCTCTTACAGAAGTAGCAAATTTGTCAGGACATCATGTCAAGGAGGAAGAGTACGTACATTTCTTCCCCTTACCGTGTATAGTTAATTTCCTACAATAATGTCATCAATTTAGTTTTGTGTTTCATTCTTACTCTTTAGATCTTTAGCAAGCGACACATAGTGGATTTTAGTAATTACTAGTGCATTTTGGATAGAAAAAGAGAAAAAAATTTCAAGTACACATTTTGTTAATATCGTGTAATATTTTTCTCTATTTGTTTTTACATCTCTATAGCAAAGAACAGGTTCACTGATTTAATGTGTTTTTTGTTTTGAACTGCTAGCTATGAAGCTACAATAATCAGCAACATTGTTAAGGAGATCTTAGCCCAAGTTCTTGATGGCACATATTTGAATGCTCTCCGTGATTAAGTTTGAGGATTGTCTGCTCCCCGTGATTCCCATATCGTCGTTTCTGTACTTAATTACCCTCCTTATGTTATATAAATTTCAGTTTTCTTTGTAACATAACGCTTTCCTTAGTTTCTTATTATGCAATTTAGTGTGTGGTTTTCTTTTAAGTAGCATTTAAGCATTGATTAGTGTTCTTGATGGATTGGTAATAGCTTTTGTTTTGTAATGTTATCGTTGTTTAGTCTCGTTGTATGTGATGCGAGGATATTGCTGTTTGATTTTACCTTGGTGGTAGTGTTTGACTTTACCCGGGGGATGGTGATTGACTTTACCTCTGGACGTTGGAACAATTCTGTTGGGAGATTCTCCCAATGGGGTCTGATTAGTGATTACTGTTTGAGACAAGTCTTTGGCAACAATCTGGGATGTTAATGTTATGGTATTTCGCTCACTATCATGCTCTTCTGGAGAGAGATTTACATTGGCACGGGATTTTACGATTTCAATACGCCCGTCCCATAGAATGAGAGAGCAACTTACATTGGCACAGAATGCCAGTATCCCGGTATACCCATGATTAATACCATGAGTTTGTAACTTGGCATTGTGCGGACGTACAATGCTGTTTTTACTCGAGTTACTGAGTTGTGGAATTGGAAATTGATAAAGTTTCAGATAAAAGCTTGCAGTGAAATAGTTGACACTACCTTTGTGAAGAATGAGCATGCGTATAAATTCATATCGGAATGGTTAAAAATGCTTTTCAACGAGCTAAAACGAATTTGGATAACACTTAATTCAGTGATGCACGAGAACAAAGCAAGGTCCGATTCAAGGTATAGGGGTTGCCTGATTCACCAATCTTTCGTCCCGACTTATAGTTCAGGTGATTCTAAACTATCTTCTAAGGGTTAATATTATTACATAGGCTTGGGGCTTCCATGATATCCAAGGGATATTTTTCCGTTTGTTGGCTCAACTTCTTCAACCATTTTCGAACACCTCAAAGTATCTTGCAAACGTTCGAGGGAAAAAATTTAAAGTGATGGGTGCTTCAAGAAGTTATTTAATGAAATGTGCTTTTATTGAAAGTGCTTAGGAACACGAGTCACACAAACATTACAAATGGGGTTCGACTAAACACTTGCGCTTGAAATTTAGATGTGAGATATTTTAGCCAAGTGATTTTTTTAAGGTTAATTGCATAGAAGATTCAAAAATAACATATGAATGACTTCAAAAAGTGATTTTGAAACGTAAATAACAGATCTCGTGCCTTGGTAACAAAATTGAAGCACCTAAGAACTTGTTTGGATGTGTTTTTAAAATGACTGAAAACTTTTTTTGTGAAAATGTTTTTAGAACCAATCTTTAGTAAAGATGCAAGTAAATTCTGAAAAAAAACACTTAAAGTGCTTCCTAGAAGAAGCACATAACTGGTGCTTCTTGTAGAAAGCACTTCAAGTGTTTTTGAAACCCAAAAACATTTTCTCTAAAAGCGTTTTCAATCATTTTAAAAACACATCCAAACGAACCATAAAAAAACGAAATGATTTTATCATCCAGATTGTTGACGGTGTTTTTTAATATTAAATTATTACGATTATTATGGCGTTAAAAAATAAAATTACCGCGCAGGAGGTCAAGTTTTTTGGGCTGATTTGGGCTGGTCGGGTTATTCTTCAACATACCCAGCCCAAAGCAGTGAAGAAATCAACCACCTACCCTCTCTTCCACAACGACTTGTCGTTTTTGTTAGTCGTGTAGGCTGATCGAGCGGAGGTACAAACGAACGGCAGTGGAAGGAGAAGGAGGAGAAGCCAGAGATGACCAGTCCCGGAAAGTGCTTGCTGGTGACTGGACCTCCGGTAATCAACTTCCAGTCACTCTTAACTTTTGATTTCATATTTCTACTTGGTCCATGCTTTTCTCAAAAGTGCTTTTGGTTGATGCTGCTGCATCTGATTTCCGGGGCAGGGTGTGGGCAAAAGCACTGAAGCTGAAACCAAGTTGCAATGAAAGTTCTATGCGGTACAGAGTTGAAATTGTCAATGTTCATGAAGGAACCAGCCTTATAAAGAAACTATTGTGGTGAAACAAGATTCTCTTACTTCTGGATGATGTGGATCGATTGGAACAGTTAAAAAACTTGGTTGAAGTCGATTGGTTCGGTGAGGGTAGCAGAGTGATCATAACCACAAAAGATGGATGATTGCTTGAATCATATGGAGTTGAGTTGATATACGAGGCGTAAAAGGGCTTTCTAAACTCTTCAGCTTTTTAGTTTAAATGCTTTCGGAAGAAAAGAACCTTCGGATGATTATTTGAGACTCGCACGATGTGCAATAGCAGGTGCTCAAGGCCTTCCGTTAGCTCTTAATCTTATAAGTTATCATCTGGTGTAATAAAAGTATAGATTGTTGGCAAGCTACATTGGATAGTTAAGATTCTTACAATGGAGAACCTTATAGAGGTATTCAAATAATACTTTGTGAAAGTTTTGATGTCGGGGATTATATCCTGCAACAATTTATCCTAGACATTGCATGTTCTTCAAGGGGGAAGATAAAGATTGTGTTACAACTATTAAGAAGTTCGAAGCTCAATGCAGCTTATTGAAGTACTCGTTGAAAATGTCATCATAACTATTGAATATAATAAGATTTTGATGCATGACTTGCTAGAAAAAATGGGTAAGCGTATAGTTTACGAAAAATCTCCCACTGAACCAGGGAAAAGTAGCAAGTTGTGGTTTCATGAAGATATATATAAGGATTTTGAAACAGCCTTTGTGAATTGTTTGTTATACGACTTGTTTGTTGACATTATGTCTTTTTCCATCTTAGGGAACAAAGAAAATTAAAGGCATTGTGGTGAAGTTGCCCAAACTAGATGATCTAATACCCTTGAATGCAAAAAGCTTCTTGCGGATAGTAAATCTTGAAATTTTATAAACTGCAATGGACACTTTTATGGACACCTTGATTATCTGCCCAACGATTTGAGGTGGATTGAACTTGGTGGACGTGACTTTCAATATTTGAGATCCTATATTCCTGAAAAGCATCTGGTTACGTTCAATTTGCAATCCAATTATCATCCAAGGCATCTTGTCATGTTTGTTTTGCCATACAATAGCATCAAACAATTGAATGGATTTAGGGTACCTAAAGCACTTGGATCTAAGTGTGTATAAGTTTGGTGATTCTGTTGGATTCCTTGATAAACTTGTTGAGTTGAATCTTAGTGGGTGCTCTAAGCTTACGAGGTTTGAAACAAGACCTAGATCGAGATCCCTTGAATGGCTTTGTCTCGATGGTTGCACAATGCTCGAGAGTTTCCCGCAAATAGAGGAGGACAAGATGAAATCTCTAACGGACTTGAACATAGAACAAAGTGGCATAAGAGAATTGCCTTGATCAATTGCATCTCTTATTGGACTTCTAAGATGGGATGCAGAAGGTTGTGAGAACCTTACACTTATAGGTACATCATTACTTCATATTTATGGGTTGCAACATCTCATTGTGGTTACTTTCGTTGGATGCCCAAAAGCCATGACATTTTGGAAGAATAAGGTGAAGTTTGATGAAGTTTCATCTTGTAGTACCAAATCACAACTGTTTTCAACTGACTTAGATACTTCAGATGACAACTCTATCACATTAGCACCAATGGCGGAACCAGAAATTTTTTTATGGGTGGGCTAGCTAAAAAAATAACCCTAAAATCAAATGATTTTCTTTTTCTTTTTCTTTTTTTTTTTTTGGTATTTACATATTGTATGCAAAAATTTAAGTTTAACTTTTGTATTTGTGTACTTAAAATTTACTTGGCATGAACTCAACAAGCTTCGCATTTGCAAATTGCAAAAATTACAATGAATCATCAAATTTACATATATTTAAATGTAAACACAAGAAGAAGATAAAAAGCTTGACATCTCAATTACAATCACACAACTAGCACAAATCAAAACAATGAAAGTAGATGTAAAGGCAATCTTAAAAAAAATGATTGAAACTAATATAAAGCCTACTGAATCAAAGTCGAAAAATCTTGAACAAAACGGCATCACAATTTTCATGATAAGTTTTATATTTCTAGTTGTGCTAAATACTCGCCGGGCTAGTTTCATTAAAAAATAATTTTTCTTGCAGTTTTTTTTTTTTTTTTTTTGTCTATTATATTAGACTATGCACTAAAATATGCATACATATGCCACAAACTCTCCCTCGGTTACAGCCCATCTAAGCCTTTGGTGTGGCTACACCATTTAGCGCTTCCCAACTTACAACAACTTGATTTTAGAGGATGCAATTTATCAGAAGTGATTTCCTTATGCCTCTTGATTTCTGGTCTAGATTAACAAGACTTAATCTGTTGAGAAACAATTTTGTTAGTCTTCCGAATTGCATTAGCAAACTAGTCAACTTGGACAAACTCCATTTGAGTGGTTGCTAGAGGCTTCGGGAAATTACACAACCCCTTCCACCAAAACTAAAAAGAGTTATATCTGGATGACTGCACATCATTGGGGAAAATTCCAAAATTGCGCCCGAAGCTTAGGCTTCTGCGGTTGACTAATTGCTTTAGACTATGTGGCGATGAGGTGGCAAAGTAGGAAAATAATTTGTTGAATCAGGTTCCTCTCTCTTGTTCTTAATTTCTCTTGAAATGCATATTAATTTTGTTGAGCGATCAGATCATGTGACTGTTAGTAATTAGTTATATCTACATTATTTAATTTGCAAGAATCTCTTTGGCGACCTGAATTGCAAATTGTTCATCTAGGCAGTGAAGTTTGGAAGTGGTTCATCTATACCTCTGATTATCTCACCAACATTGAATATTGATCAGAAAATAAATTTTGCTTTGAAATTCCTCTACATTTACATGGGGACACGTTATTAAGATTCGCTCTATCTGTTGTTCTTGATGCACCGCATCCGTAAAGTCCTAGTGATACTTGTGTTCTCATCAACGGAAGAGGACGCTCTGGACCTTATTAATCGCATGACAGGGACATGGAGGCAACTCATGTGTGGCTTGGGTTAATGGATTTAGACGAGCAGGAGCGGGAGGGAGATATTTATTTGTCAAGTTATTTTTCAATTCTCCGAATATGCACGCATTAAAAGCTGCTGGGTGCACCGCCTATCGCACAACCAAGATGAACGGCTTCCCTTGTCTTTGGGAGCAACGAGTGGTCTTGGGAAAGAGGCCTTGCCCACGTGGATCCTCAGATGTCATCGATGATGAATACGATCAGCAACAGCAATGGATTTCCTTGTCTCCAGAGCCAATGGATGATCATCCGAAGCGGAGGCATATTGATCGCAGTGTTCCTATCACTACTGACGAGGAGCAAGGGCAACCGTCCACTTCAATCGATCGACAGTATCTCTGACTTAATAGGAGTCTTTTAAAGTAAGTCAAGCTTCAATTTCTCCTTGTTCTACCGTCTTGTGTTTGTTGTTCTGTTTTCTTGATATGCTGGCAGCTCCCTCTATAGACGGCTTTTCAGTTTAGTAACTTTGGTATATATTTGTACATTCTGCTTTCACCTTCTCACAATTTATTTCTTTCTTTTATGTAGCGAACAGACCGCCCTCACTAAAAAGCTCCAAAACTGTAAAGGAGGCAGTAGATCGACCAAATGGTTGTTATTGTAGAGAGTTGGTGTAAACCCATTGTGCATGACTGTGATTCTGTTCACACAGAGCAAAATCAATGTTTTGCTATATATGCATCTCTTTATGTATTCAAGAATGATATTTGTGTACGGAGTATTTATCAATAATAACCAAATTTTGACACCTTATTTCATAAATGTCACATTTTATAAGAACTTTCAAATATAGCAAAAAACTCATGTAAATAGATCTAAATGCCCTCAAAATTCCAAAACTTATTTACACAGAAAAGCAAAAGCACTTGAATAGATCTCCTATACATCGTTGTTCAAAGTGCGAGGCCACTAGGACAGTTGGTAAACGTCGTGGAGCAGTTGCGGGTGTTGTCCAACTGTCAACTAATTGAGTACTAACTTGAAAATTTGTTGGTTATGTGTGAAACTCAAACTCAATCGTTACTATTGATACAATATCGTCACGACAAAATATTATTTGTACAATCATTTTAGCAGACGTGATATTAGTTGAGGATTCTAACTCATTGAAACCAAATTCCAATCCGAATGTGCTTACGAATTTTCCTTAAATTTGTTGGATGATAGGGATTTAAAATCATAACAGTTTTCACAAGAGGATCATTCCAATTAAATTCGTGCTTCTCTTCCCAGCAAATCTAATTAATCTATAACCCCTATTAGCAAGTTCAAAATTGTAGCGGATCTCACAAACCAATCAAAACTAAATAATGGAGTGAGGGTGTGCGAAAATGCTGCTCTCGACAATGGGGCTAAAAATATTAATCCATGTGCAGAAAGTTTTAAATTTTTAAACATGAAAATGATTGGGAAGTTCATCAATGTTGTTGTTCGTATATATAGTTGTGGGGTGAGAGTTTTGCCACTAATTTTTATTTGGTTTTAATTTTGAGGGTATTTAGATCTATTTAAGCAAGTTTTCTGTTATATTTCAATTTTTTTATAAAATGTGATATTTATGAAATTTAAGGTTAAATTTTAGCGATACAAATACAATCATATTCTCGTGGTTTAATAGAAGACAATCTGATATGAACATATTTGTGTACGAATACGATCCCGCTGCGTTTTCACATAAAGACGAAGGCGTAGTTTACTCTCTCTCTCTCTCTGCGTCTTCGTCTTGTTCTCGAAAACCCTAGGTAACCTCGCGCCTCCGCCGCTCTGACTCGGTCCTAAGCGAGCAGTTTTTGACCG